TATGTATGTCAAAAGTAGTAATTAATTTCCCAACCTCCTTTTTCTTTGGCTATTAAAATTGGTTACTTTTGCTTCTTATTTACAGTCCTTTCATGATTCACTAGAGGAGAATACATTTAATAAACTGAGGTTTAGAAAACAAGTTACATAGAGTTTTTATTATGCAATTTCATTAAATATTATTGAACTCTTTGTCCAGAGTGCTTTGACTTTTTATTTTATTTTGTTAACCACACATCAAACAGATTATAGTTTTCTTTCTCTCAGATACAGAAGGTGTGGAGACTTCTGAAATAGATAATTAATCTCTTTTGCTATCTATAGTTTCATAGTTAACACTGTCTTGGTTGAAGTGTAAAAACACATTCGCACTTTAGAAAACGGGTGATTAGTTAATCAAATGACAATATGAATGGTAGACAAACACAAAAATGACTGCAAGGTGGAGCTATTTATGAGCAGCTACATTTTGTCCATGTGAAATGTATTCATTATTATTTATAAATTTCAGTTTCTTGTATTTTGGTAGTTTTGTATTCAATGTGCTTCAGTTTTATCATTATGGCCATGCACCAATTTAATTTAGCAATTCTTCTGTTTCTTTGGCCATTTTCAGTCAAACAGAGAACTGTAATGATTAGGGCAAGGATTTCTATGATATGCCATGTTTTTTTCTGGAACTTATATTTGAATTTATAAGGAAGTTAAAACATATTTTAGAATAATTTGGTGAGAATTATATGCTTCTGTTTGCCTGAAAAGCCATATTTTGACTTTTTAAAAGTGTTATGTCACATTTCTGCTTAATTTTGTAACAAATGTTATATTTTTATCCTTGGCAAACCTCCGGTTAAACCAGCAAGTTAAAGCTAGAAAAGAAAGTGAGAATTTGCCTGTTTTTTTAATTAGTTTCCCAACTGAGAGAGATGCTTGTATATGTGCCTGTGTAAGAGAGAGAGAGATAGAAAGAGAAGAGGACAGGGAGAGGGAGAGAAGGGAGGGGATGAAGGCTTCTCCCCTGACCACGCCTGAAAAAAAGGTGAAAATTTTCCTGTTTTGTTTTTTTATTTGTTCTATAACTCAGGTGTATGTGGATATTTGAGATGGTGGAGTCACATGAAAGTTAAAATCTGATTTGAACATACCTAAAAGTAGATGATCAGTCAGTGTAAAATTATGTTGTTTTGTTCAAGAATTTGGGGAAATTTTCAGTAGTGATGATGATATTTTGTTTTGTAAATTGTGTGAAGTTAAGATATCACTCCAAAAGCATTTTAATTTTCAACAACATTGTGAAATTTACCTTCACTGAGGGCAGGCAATATCTCCTTTTTGAGAAAGCTTCTTCTGGTGATTACTTCAAATATCCCTTTAAAGAAATTGGGTAATAGCAGCCTTGGGCATTTTTTTTTTGAGAAGTACACCAGCCACTCGATTCCAAATGAATCACTCCCAAGGAAAAATTATATCTCTGCCTTCTATGAAGATATATCAGGAAAGATAAGATCTGCTGATGACAACGATAAGATATGAAAATGCCAATTATTATTGGCACTCTGAAATGTGACAAGCCCTAGTGAAGTATTGCTTCTAACATGTGAAACTCTACAAAAAACAAACAATTCCACTATTGCTATCTTCTTTGATGATTTTATGAAACTGCTCTGGCTGGATAGTATAAAAAAGGGAAATATCTTTTTCTTATAACAGATACCACTCCATACATGACTAAAACAGCCAAGAGACTTAAACATCTCTAATTTGAATGGGAAAAAATGTTCATTAGAGAGTGTTTCATACAAATATGCCTTCTATCCATCACTCTTCTTTTACCATTGCCTTCTGTCCTCTCACACAGAACAATCAGCTGTATGTGTATGTATATGTATGTACGCATGTACAGGGCGGGGCATAACCTTTTCCTAGGGGGTCACAGCAACACTTGTAATAACAACACAAATAATTCATACACCATTCGAAAGCCCATCAAAAACTGAGTTTATTGACATGATTTAATAGTCAGTATGACCACCATTAGCCCTTCGAACAGCATTCAAACGAGGTGGATAAGAACACAACAAATCTTCAAACAGTTCCGTTCGATTTTCCAGAGGGCGGGGCATAACCTTTTCCTAGGGGGTCACAGCAAGATCGACAGCAGTTTACAACTTCCGCGACACCTCATTTTAAAGCCCATAAAAAACTGAATTGAATGAGCTATTAAATGTTAAATTTGTTTCGGTTGAAACTTTGAGAATGAATTTGGAAACTGTGTTGAAAAATCTGGAAAATCGAACGGAACTGTTTGAAGATTTGTTGTGTTCTTATCCACCTCGTTTGAATGCTGTTCGAAGGGCTAATGGTGGTCATACTGACTATTAAATCGTGTCAATAAACTCAGTTTTTGATGGGCTTTCGAATGGTGTATGAATTATTTGTGTTGTTATTACAAGTGTTGCTGTGACCCCCTAGGAAAAGGTTATGCCCCGCCCTGTATATGTACACACATACGGTATATACTCATGTTCATTCACACACACAAACTGAGCATGTTTGTAGATTGTATATGGTTTTTACCTAGTGGGATGCAGGCAACAGTATGTTAGTTTTTGTCCAGACTTTAAAGGTAAACAAGGTCAGCAAACAAAAGTTGCTAAGAAATATTTGCTCGTTTGTGTATACATATGTGTGTATACGCATACAATATCATCAAAGAGGATAGCAATAGTGGAACTGTTTATTTTTTGTAGAGTTTCACAAATTAGAAGCAATACTGGTGTACATCTCAAAAAAGGCATGTTGCCATATATTAAGTAGAAATAGATGTCTTTTTGGAACTTCTCTGCTGTTTCCATCATTCATTATGATAGATGCTGATAGCAGTTCTATCTTAAGTGTCCTGCCTTCTCTGAATCCAGTTTGTACATCTGGGCTTTCTCATTCTATGTATTGTTAATTACAGTTGCAAAGTCCTGAGTGTTACTGGTGAGGTAAGTGCTTTGATACTTTGAGCAGTCTTTATACTATCTTTTTTGATATTTCAAAACTTGGAAAAAATATCTTGAATGAAACTTGAAAAAGTTTGATTTTCTCCCCTAATCCCTCAGGCACTTTTTTTTTCTACACATATTTACGAACTATATGAAGCACATTAATTACATTATTTTGTAGATTTTAAACAGTTACCTTGTATTTTATCAACTTCTGAAGTTCTGTTGTTAGCAACATTTACCCATGTACCTTCACTTCCAGAATGTGAGGCTTTTTGTTGATTAAATAAAGCTCCTCTGAATTTCTTTCGAAGTATGTAGTCCATTTGATTTCTATAGAGATTCTGTTATCTAGATCATGGCTGTTCCAAAGGTGCTTTTTCAAAAGGCAATTTGACTTTGTTTTTTCTTGAAGACATTTTGTTTCTTATCTAAAACGCTTCTTCAGCCCCTTCAGAAAAAGCAATTTGGGACACGCATTTGCTTTCATTGATATCCATCTGATTATCTCTTAATATAAAGTTATCTTTTAGGTTATTAGAAAAAAAACCATTTTCAAGAGAAATCTCACTACTATATCTTTGCAGAACATTGCTAATCAATCACTTTTTTCCATATATAAAATCTCACTTTTCTGTTATTCCAGATGATTATTTACTACCAATTTTAGCCTTACATGCAATTAATATTAAGCTTTTTTGTATTGTACTGATATTGTGTTGTAAATTAGCATATAACTATTTAGTATAGGCTTCTTTAGTATTAGTAGTAATTTGCCTTGGACTTGAATTGAAAATAATTCTTTAAAATAAGAATATGTGATGTCCTCTGGCTGCTTAAGGTATCTGCAGATAAATGCAAAACAAATGTTGTGATGCCTGTGAAAGGGTGCTATTGGAAATGTGTAGATTGAGGGTACTAATATGTGTATTTTGCAGAAGATACTGTGCTGTTAACGGAGACCTGATATTTGCAATGATACACTAAAAGATAAGATACCAAAAATTAATGTTTCAAAGATATTGTATTGCATAAGAAATATTGTACCAAGAGTTAATGTTTGAAAGATGCAATAGCTGTATTTCACAGAAAGGAAAGAGTACAAGATATACAAGAAACAAGAGCAAGTAAATTACATTCTGTATTATGTGGTTTCTTGTGAGGAAACAATGTAGAACAAAGAATGGTAAGAATTAAGAATAAATGGATATTGAATGAATATGCACTGAACAGAAAAGAGACTGTCAATGCTAAATAGATTCACCTGGTTTGAAATATGTAGAATTAAATCTGAGTTGCAAATAAATTCATTTGTTGAATCCTTCAATTTGATGAAATTGATAATCCTGTAAAATTAGGATTTTTTTTTGTAGACTATGAAAAGTGATCTTAACAGAAAAAACCCTAAGCAAGATCAGGCTATAAAGTACCACCTAGTCTTGTAAGCTAAATTGGGAAGTCAACAAAGTATCCAGAAGACGGTGACAACTCCTTGCATAAGAAAATACATGGATTTGTCATCGAACAATATCCCCTGAAAAATTATTAGCGCCAACTTCTCTGTTTTTCAATCCACACAGATATCCGGGGACTTTTCCTGAAAAGGGAGAAGATGCCAGATTGATTCTTGAAACTCTTCTTTTTCTCAGCTTAATGTCTATGGAGATTCTCAGTCATACAGGTCAAAGTTGTCCCAAAGGTGCTTTTTCAAGAGGCAATTGGACTTCCTGGTTTTTCTTTGAAAAAAGTCTTCAAAGAAAATCAGTCCAGTTGCCTCTTGAAAACGCACCTTTAGGTCTTCTTCTTCTTCTCCCCCTTTTTAAAGAAACACAACGAAACAGCCCGGAGCGACTCCGATTAGAGCGCGCTCAATCTCCTACATCAATACCCTCCAATACTTAGGGGCCGCTGCTTCGCACTTTCTGCGGGACCGCTCTTCTCTACTCCCTGCAGAAGCTCTTTGACGCAGGCGCGTTATGAGCACAGGAGGAGGTTTTTGTCTGCTGACGTAGAGGACGAAGGCTGTAGAGGTCGCGTTTCCGGGGCTGAGAGATTTCGTATGGGTTGTTTCCTGCTTCGAGCAATAACTGCTCCTTAAGGCAAGATAGCTGCTGATGGAGTCTGTCTGTAGTACTACAGGTAGGGGCAGTTGTTTCCCCCTGCTATTTATGCACATGGCTCACAATGTGGTGGAGGGCTTTCAAAATCAGCAGCACCTGCCCTTTCCCTCGCATATGTTGTAATTCTGCTTTTATTTTTCTCTGTCTTTACACTGGGATTTTCCAGATAGGTTGAGGTTACTGTTGCCAGCCAGTAAGGAATGAAGAACATTTCTGAGGAGAAATTCTGAGAGATATAGTCATCTCACTATTCAGCTGGAGAAAATACTGAGGTTATCAAAGCAATGCTTTAAACGTTCCATGCTTTTTCTAGTAAGCAGATTTCCAGAGTCATCGTTCCATTCTGGAAACTGTGGATTATTGTTAAGTTATTAAAGACTGAAGTTATATTAAAGAGGCAAGTTGCTTTTGACTCTATATTTGTGAGTGGTTTTAGTGCCCCCACATATTTCACTTTCTGGTGGGCAAAAATGCTGAAGAATGTTGACAAAGGAAGGTTATTCTCATTTAAATTAAGTCAGAATGCATTGGTTTAAACAATTTGTGTTCTCAAATGATCAGAATGCATACATATATTACTTACTCTTTAAACAATACAACAATTTAACCTAAAAATATAAAAACTGCCCTAACCTTGAGTGGGAAGAGAGATAATTTAAAATTATGTTAAAACACTATTTTTATTAGGAATTTCCAGATTTACAGAATACTGTGCAAACTTTTGAGTTTCTGGAATAATGATATTCATCAGGTTAGAGTTGGTTGAAGGTAAAGGACGATAGTGTGGCCAAGAGCAATGGTGACTCCGAGATAATATATTTCTAAGGTAGGCAATGATAGATACATGTCTTAAACAAATATTTTTCGCGTTTGTGTGCTTGCTTCTATGCTACAAATGTCCCTCAGTATTTATAAACTGTATGATGCTGTGATAACATTGAACATGTTACATAGGTTGAGGACTGCTTTTACCCCCCCCCCCCTTTTGCTTTTTCTTCTAAGTTGTTGCTAAGGTTTTATTTATGTTTTATTTGACTTCCATGGTGCTTTTTATCCAGGCCAGAATGCTGTTGCTGAAAGAAATATCCCATACAAAGCTAGTTGGCTATCAAACATATATCAATCAATTAATTTATTACAGTTTTAGACCAGAGACCAGAACAAATAAAAATGCTCAGTAAATATATATTTAAAAATTCTAGTGTAAAATAATAAATAACAACTAAAATCTATAATAAAACCCTATCTGTCAATTATACATGGTCTAGCTATATTACAATTACAATTCATAAACTCTGTGGCCCCATTGTAAGTTCAAAGCTAAAAAGGGAAGGACTAAACAGTTCAAAGGCTGTTACATTTGTTATGTAACATAACTATGGTGGAGAAGAAATGTGTTTGTGACAAATCCCCAGTGCTGCTGCACAGAATCTGGCCACCTGTGCTGTACTTAAGCAGCCACTGAAGATAGGTAGTGTTGGAATGATCAGGATACCTAGCAGTTATTGCCAGAATATGTTTTTTTCTTAATCTCTGTGTAAAAGGAACATTTAAGTAGCATGTGACTCACAGTCTCCACCTCTCTTGAGCCTCAGGAACAGAATGTTTCCATCTATGGTATCCTTTTACACTTGCCATATAGGATGGCCGATGGAAGTGCATGGTACTGTTCGAGTGAAAATGCTTTACGGTGGTTTGCTGACTCCAACTGACTAAGATAGCTGGCAGAAGCTTCAACACATCTAATGGCATCTGGAACCATAAACAGCGGAGCTTTCTCTAAGTTCACCTGCCTCTCAATGTCCTCCACCCTTTGTCGCAAAATTTGTCTTGCTAGGCATATTCTATCTTGAGTATTGAAGCTGGGGATAAATCTAGTTTGGCAAAGTTGGATTCAACAGCCTTGATCCATGAAGAGAAGAATTTGTCCTGGAGGATTAATGGAGCAATCCCTTGCTGAAGGAAGTTACACTTTAGCCAGAGATTTAAGGATGCTATACAGATTCTTGCTTTGACTTTTGTCAATCTTGTCTCCAGGCGCAGAAGTGCATTTGAGACACAAAAGGCATCTGGAGAATTGATTGAATGAATTTGGATCGAACTATTTCTAATGCGGTAAAACACGAAGCTGATGGTCGAAAGAAGCTGTGCTAGCAACTTGGCCAGAAGAAGCAGGGATATAATATGCTCTTTTTGTGCAGAAAAATTTAAGTATGGTGCTTGTTGATCTTTGGCCCAAGGCAGCCACATGTTCTCCATGTACTTTTCTGGAAGCATTGGCCTGGATGACCACCTCCAGGTGGTCCTACTCTATTTTATGGCCATTTAAATACCAGGAATACAGTTTTGACCTTTTTGCAAAGGCCAGGATCTTTGTTTTCTTACAATTTATGTCCATTTTATTTTAATTACAATACTGGACAACAAACAAAGATAGATATAAATAGTGCTATAACCTTTGCATACTTATAAATTGTTCTAAGCCAATGTTTTTCAAACTTGGCAACTTGGCAACTTTACTCCCAATTGCATTCAACACATCTTAAAGTTTGAAAAATATTGTTAAGCATAATTTAAGTTTATGTTGACTGCATTGTATTGTGGCTTAGTCCAATGTGTGAACAGTGTAGTTGTCCATTTAATCTAATCTTCTTTGTTCTAATAGTGGTTTGTCGGGTTATCCGCCAGAAGTCTTAGCTCCTATTATTTGATCTTTTTAACCAAATATATATGAAATGAACCAGAGATATTTTGCATTCAGAACTATTAAAATCTGCTGTCCTTTCTAGGCCCACAGTGGTCCTAGTTGAAATGGTAACATAGTTAGACCATTTTAATTTGAAATATAATCTTAAATCTTATAATAGCGACTTTTTAGAGTGCTTTATTTTCTGCTTCAGATCTGTTGAGATAACTGCAGTATATATTTGGAAGCTGCTTTTCCGTAACATAGAAACTTTTGGAGCATGAACAAGACCATACATGCAGCCTCATTTAGTGATCACAAATGTGACTGGTGACTCAGGCATTAAGCAAAGCAATCACTAAGTTCTTCTTTTTCTGTATCTATATCAAACTTTAAATTGCCAGAATGAAGTTACCTTCTTGGCTTTGTCATTGGTCAAAAATATCATGTTTTTCAGAGTATAAGAAACACCCTTTTCCTCCAAAAGAGAGGGTGAAAATACTCCGAATGTAGCCGCCTGGGTCATCGGGAGAAGTGGGAGATGAAGCGGGTACTGCACAGGAGGCAAGACGTAAGACAAGGTGGCTCGTTGCTCGGACTCCCGCTTTTCCAGACAACCCAGTCGTCGGCTTCTGCTCCTGGCCTGGGAGATGGATCTGGCCAGGAGGAATACAAACTCCATTTTTGCAATCAGAGAGGAAAAAGAGCATTTCAGGCACCCGGCGATCCCTGCAGCTCTTTTTCCTCCCTGATTGCAAAAATGGGGCTTGTATTCCTCCTGGCCAACTCCATCTCCTGGGCCAGGAGCAGAAGCTGACTTCCCTCTACCTGGGTTGTCTGGAGAAGGGGTTGTCTGGAGAAGGGGGAGGTGAATCACCTTGCCTTACAACTCTCACACAGTACCCACTTCACCTGTCCCTTCTTAGACAGTTCCAGGCAGCCAAGATCACTGCGCTGCCACCTGAAAATGCTGTTATTGCGCTCTCTGCCACCCAGAACCACCCGAGAAGGGGCTGGTGAAGCGGGTGCTGCAATCCCCCCAATCCCCTGGATCTGTCATGCAGTGCTTATTGCTACTGCTGCTATTGCACCCAGCTACTGTATCTCTTTGCATGACATATCCGGGCAGATTTGGGGGGAGGGGTGGATGGAAGAGGACCAATCTCCTCTGCACGAAGGCTTTTCTTGGGACCCTAGCTCTCCACTTTCTCTCCAGAAAAAGCTATTGTCATCATCTGGATTTTGGCTAGTGAAAGAAGCGCAGGATGAAAAGGAAACTTTGGAATGCAGCAGGTGCCAGGTGTCAGGGAGACTTCTGACCCAGCACTCCTGCATTCCGGGGGTGGTTCTGATGAGGCAGCCTCATTTCCTTTATGCTTCACTTTTGCCACTCAGGTGCCGCCGCGAGGAACCATTGATCCAAATGGAAGGGATACCCACCCCTCCTCATCAATGGGCCGTTCCCAACTCTCAACCTATTCATGGCCCTCCAAGTAAGAGAGGCCAGATCCTTCAGCCATATCCTTCTTTAATGTTATTCTTTGCTTGATGGTCTCCTTCCTCCATTTTTAAATTTGATTTTGTTCTCATGTACCCTCAAGAATGCTTGTTCTTGCCCTAAAACTGTTCCTAGATCTGAGTTGGTAGGCTTGGAGCATACAAAGAATGTTGAGGATCATTCTCTTGCTTAGATCTCTTAGCATCTGCTGCTACCTTTCTTCTGATCTTAGATCTGGCAGTTCCAGTGAGACAATATGTTTTCTCTGTCGGTGTAGGTTTGAGACAATCTGTCACTAAGCTTAGTGCTTCATTAATGGTGATATCAACTTATTTCACATGTACAGATGTGCTCCATACTGGAGCAGCATACTATGTTGCAGAGATACTCAAGGCCAAAGCTTATGTGCACAATGTAGATGGTTGAGCTTCCCATATGTAGTTTATTTTCATTGCTGATCATATTGTTCCATGAATTGACTTTAACTTTGGTATTTAGGTAATGCTATTTAAAAGAGAGTGTCCTGTTGAGTGCCATTCCAAGATACTTCTGTATTGGACAGTGCTGTAGCCAGTTCCCTTGGTACATAACATCCAACTTCTCCCTTGCATTTTGATTTTGGAAATGGAAAGCACACACTTGAGTATTCTTTCAGTTGGGCTTTAAATAGTTGATGGTATACTAACGTCCTAATTTTTCAAGTGCTACCATAAGTTTCCTGGCTACCTTATAAAAAGTTGATCATTGTGCTGCCACAGCTGTATCATCCACATAGATGAATAGATATGTGTTGTGTCAGGGATTGGTTGATCGTTCATATATATGTTACATAACA